CTGAGTCACTGGACCACACCCCACAGGCTATAAAAGGGTGGTGGTGGCCATTTGGACCTCTGTGACGGACAAAAGCTGAATCTCTGGTGAAGTAGTTTGCTGAGGCTTTAAACTGTGTGTATTGTTTTTTGTTTCTGTGTTTTTGGAGTAAAAGGTCTTGGCAGGCAGCTATGGAGCTGCTGCCAAGTTTCTTATCTGTAAAGTGGTGTCTGGAGAAGTCTTTAACCCTCGGCTGGCTGTTTGGGTGTGTGGGTCGGACGGGGACAGAACATTGCCATGAGGCCACGGAACAAGCCGGGTGGCAGTAAGAAACCGGTATACCGGTTCCTTACCTCCACCCAGCTTGTTCCGCGGCCTCATGGCAGTGGCATTGGGCAGGAGGCGGCAAATAGCTGCTGCCGGAGGCAAATAGGTGCATTGCGCCGAAACTGGCCATTTGCCGCCTCCTGCCCAATGCCGCTGCCATGAGGCCGCGAAACAAGCCGGGTGGCGGTAAGAAACCGGTATACCGGTTCCTTACCTCCACCCGGCTTGTTCCGCGGCCTCATGGCAGCAGCATTGGATGCGATGCGCAAGGTGGCAAATGGCCGTGGATGGAGGCAAACAGCCACTTCGTGCCGAAACCGGCTGTTTGCTGCCTCCTGCCCAGTGCCACTGCCATGAAGCGCCTCTCTGGCTCCTGGGAGTTGTGCTGGCATCCTTTGTGCCGGGCATCCTTTGCGGTGAGTTTCTGGAAAAATTTGCAACGGGGGTGGGTGCGACGCACGAGGTGGCAAGTGGCCACGGCTGGAGGCAAACAGCCACGTCGTGCTGAAACCGGCTATTTCCCGCCTCATGCCCAGTGCTGCTACCATGAGGCCGTGGAACAAGCCGGGTGGGAGTAAGAAACCGGTATACCGGTTCCTTACCGCTGCCCGGCTTGTTCCATGGCCTCATGGCAGCTGCATTGGGTGCGACACGCGAGGCGGCAAACAGCTATGTCATGCTGAAACCAAGGGGCCGGCAGGCTGTGGCTGCTGATGGACACAGCCCCCATGCGCTCGCTGTGTGCGGGGGCCGATGGTGTCAGGCAGCAGACGGCCCGGCCCCTGCCTCACGGCAATGGCACCCCTGCCCTGCCCCTCCTCACCCCACAAGACGAACCTCCTGCCCACTGTCTCACCTGCCAGAGACCCCCTGGATCTCCCAAAACCCTGCCTGGCCCCCACAGGCGTCCCTCCCCACGAGCAACATTGAGGTGGCCATGCCCATCCCTGCCACGCCCACCCAGTCTGCCATGACCACCACAGCCACGCCCACCCAATGGTCCACACCCACCCAATGGGCCACACCCGGCTGGCACCCGATGATACATAAGTGGATTTTGTGTTGCAGTTTGGGCTTTAAAAGGTTTGCCATCACTGATATAAGAACACTGCCAGGTGATGGTTCTTTTTCATGGTGACAGGATGCTAGAATACTGATAGTTTCTTTGGCATTGGATGAATTAGTAAATATAATCATCATGCCAGTGGAATTTCATATTGCATGAATAATTTTATGTAGCTGTGAATGGCATGGGGGGACGAGATGGAATCTTGTAGATCCAGGTGTCAAACAGAGTCCCCCAGCATCACTTTCTGGATGTGGTTCAACAAAGATCACTAACACTTCAACCCAAAGTCCCAAACCTAATCCCATCACATGATCTAGAAGGCACTGAAACAAACTAGTATAACCAGGAAAACAAGCGGAATTCTGCCCCTTCCACTCTGTAGTGTAGTTAATTAAAGCTAGCATCATAGCACAGCAGAACAGAAATAGGCCAGATAATCAATATTAGTCAAATGTATCTAGTGCATCCTTCTCAAGAATGTAATATTTAAGTTTGGTTTAGAATTGCACAGAATTCCCCAGCTAAGGGAGAGTTGCTTCATTATATGTCTTTTAACTGTTTTTTTAGGCATTCATAGGAATCAAGAAAACCCTATCAATTCCCTTAACTATGATAAGGTTAGTAACTGATAAACATAAGAAAGAAGTGACCAAAAACCAGGCTGTAATTTTTCTACATGTTCAAGCCGTGAAAAAAACAAACCCCCAAATGAGAGGACAAGCAATTTCTGAGGTTGCTTTCCTAGAAACAGACCCCAACGCTGGCATTGATTATTTTATGTGCAAAGAATTATGTGTGCTGCTCAAAATAAGCCACCAATTGCTTTTGCTCCCTTCTCATCACATCTGAGTGATTGAGATGTATTACCATATAGAAGAAACATGCTGGCCTGCTTTGTATGGCTATATGAAGGCAAACAAGCCTTCTCTCTTGCTCTCATTATCATGGAAAAGGACTTCAGTTGGGAGTTAATCCCTGCTTGATCTGACATGTCTTGAGAATTTCTCCTTTTGCACTCCAGCTATCATTCCACTTTTTGATTATTCTCAGTTCCCTTGTAAATTAAGGGATTGATCTGATTCAGCAAGAAAGAATAATGTTCACAGGAACATTAGGACATATGTGTAATAAAAAAAGTATAAAATAGTATAAAAACTTTCATGGGAGGAAGAATCATATTTGAGATAATGATCCCTAAATAATGTAGTGTAAATTCAAGATAGTGAGAGCCAGTTTCATATAGGAGTTAAAGACATTGGGCTAGAAACTGGGAGACTATGAGTTCTAGTTCTGCGTTAGGCACAAAATCAGTTGGGTGACTTGGGTCAGTCCATCTCTCAACCTAAATAAAAGCAAGGGCAAACCACACCTGAAAATGTCAAGAAAACTGCAGGGACTTGTTCAGGCAATTGACTGGAATCAAGACTGACTTGTAGACAAACAAACAAAAATGATCCCATAATTTGGGGAATGGAACTATTTTTACATAAGTCATACTGAAACTCTTTGTCGTTAGAATCTTTTATCTATATCAAAGGATATGCTAGTGCTGGTAAACCACATATGGAAATCACAACAATGGCCATAGACTAGGAAAAGATTTACTAATATTCCAATACTAAATGAGGCCTGTATTAAACAATGCTTGTACTACTGAACAATTGCACTTATCTCACATGCTGGTAAGATAATGCTCAAAATTTTGCAATCCAGTTTTCAACAATATACAGAATAAGAACTGTCATTAATACAAGTTAGATTGAGATGAGGCAGATGTTACATTGCTAACATCTGATGGACAATGGAAAAGGTAAGAGTTCCAAATCTCTCTCTCTCTATATATATATGCATAAAAATTAAGAAAGGAATGTGCCAAGGTTGTATACTACTACCTTATTTATTTAACATAAAGAACATAAAAGACATGTCAGAGTGGTAGAAACATTTTGAATATTGAATAATTGATCAGAACGCAAAAGATGCGGTTGAAAGTAGAAGTCTGCAAAAACTAAAGATGGTAACTCAAGACCTGGATTTGAAAAAGAACATGCTAAGAGAAATGATAACAATATGCATACAGGAGTTCAAAACAGAGAGGTGAATTATTGCCAAGGAAATGGACAGGCAATGGAGGGAATTAGGTGGATATATAATTGTTTTATCTAAATCAAAGGAAATGTTACTATTGTGGCTTCTGCTATTATTATACATTAGCCAGGGAGGCCTAAAATTGTGCTTGTATTTGAGTTTTACAGATTAGAAGTGAACTTATTCAACCATTTTTGCTGCTTGATTTTGATGATTTCACTGAAAAAAAACCAGTACTAGATAAATATAACTGAATGCCATTGGTAGAGAAAAAGTGGATTAAAGGATTTAACAAAAGGCAAAGAAAAGATGGTGGCATGTATTCGAATGACATTTTATGTGCTAATTATTTCACATTCAAATAATTTTTCTGGAACTATATACTGAACTTTTGTTTTAGTAAAGCTGAGTATTTCTCCCAAGAAAAATGATCCTGGCAGCAATTTGGAGGGAAAAGCCATCTGCATGAGGAAACCTGATTTATTTGGTTCTGTTCAACCAATTCAGCCATTTTATACTTTAAAGTTGGGCAGCACAACTTTGGTCAGGTACCATCTTTGAAGGGCACATTCTTTGAGGTGTGATTGCTGTTTTTAATGTATTACAGTATTTGGTCTAGGTCCAGTCATCTATTCCCCCCCCCCTTTCTCTGGTTTTGTCTCCTCCTCCTCCAGCTCCTCATGGTGTCCTCCCCCTCCCCTCTTGTTGCCTCCGGTTTCTTTCCCACCCAGGGCAAAAGAGTTTTCTTTCTTTCTTTCTTTTTTAACGCAGGTTACATATCGCGGACAGGCATCTCCTAGCGTTTCCATTCTCTTGCCGGCTGTTATCTTTCGTCATATCATTACGGAGGCAAAACGCATAAACCTCTCGGAGGTTTTCTCTTTCTCCCTTTCTCTCTCTCTTGTGTCGGTGTGATCTCCCAACGTGCACGATCCGGTTTCAGCCCAGCCGAAAGGCGCGCTGGGTTATACACTTTTCCGAGTGCCTTCTCTAACTCGGGTTCTCGCTGAACGCAGCGAAGTCTGGGGAGCCCCCACTTGCTTTGCGCTCGTAAAAGGAGCGTTCCCGCCGGCCCGCCCACCGACCCACTGTTCCTGCTCTCTCCTAGCATTTCAAGCGCTTCTCTTTCCACTCCCTCCACTTTTGCTCAAAACAAAAAAGTCAGCAGCTCCATCTTCCTGCATTTCCATCCATGCGCTAAATTGTAAAAAGGGGAGATTTCCCCCTCCGCCTCCTCCTGTTGCCGCCTCCGCCAGCACCAGCCTCACTGGCCGGCACTGCTGCTGCCGCCGCCGCCACCACCATCATCTCCCTCCTCCTCTGCTTCTTCTCCTCCTCCTCCTCCCTTTCTCCTCTCCTTTTGGCAGCACCAGGACGTCCGGCGTGGTGGTGGTAGAGATAGCGGTGCTGCCGGTCCTGCCGTGGGGTTGCAAGCGGACGGGGTCGCCTTTGAATCCTCCCGTTTTTCCAAGGTGCCTAACAGAGCGCGAGCGACCCGAGAGCCTGCCGAGAAGCTGAAAGGCAGCGAGGAGTCACGATGAGCGCACGAGGTGACGGAGCCGGGCAGCCTTCGACTTCTTCCGCGGCTGCCAAGGAACAACCTGCCACCGCCGAACCGCCGAAGAGGGGACGAGGGAGACCCAGGAAACAGCCCCAAGTCAGTAATTTCTCTAGCTAACCTAGACTAGAGCAGAGATATGTGAGAATTGGGCGCGCACGTGCCTTGCAAACTCCTCAGCATTGGCGGTGTGTGTTGGTAGATGTAAAAGTGTTGTGGCGGCCACAACGGGTTTCTTTGCTCTCTAGCAATTGTAACGAAGCGGGTCAGAGCTGCAAATCCCACTGGCAAGGGGAAGGAGCGGAATGTGTTTGTGTGTGTGCACGCGCGCGCATGAAAGAGGGAGAAATGTGCGAGCGCGCGCGCGTTTGTTTCTTTTGAACTGAAGAAAACTTATCTTTGCTTTTATTGTGTGGTTTTACTCTGTAACGCGGAGCGGCTCCGGTCCCACCAACCAGCGCTCAAGGGCTAGTTTCGAGCAAAGTTTAAATCTGAGCCTGTGAGCGGACTGAAAAGAAGAATGGGAGTCAGGGCTGTCTTCGCTACGTCTCAATCTTTGTGCCATGTGTCTTCTAGCTGGTCTTGCAGTGACTGCTGCCGCCTCTGGTACCATCCGACTTCACCCCCTCCCATCGTGGCCGGGAGGGGGGGAGTCAGACTCCCCAACTGTGTGATTCAAAGGGTGAACCATTGTTGGCTGCGTGTTTACTTTGCATTTTGTAGGTTTGACTTCCTCGAGGCTTAGTCTGGTCCCCCTCCCCTCCAGGAAACTGATTACTCTGTGTGAGAAATAGTGCTTCGTGGTTTAGGGCTGTGTGAGTGCTCGTGGGACATTTGAGACCTGGGCATTCCCTTTATTTTCCACGAGGTGAAATTCATAACTACTATGCGCTACATTTGGCAAAGTAAACAGGCTACGGGAATACCCGAGTTGTCCTTCAAGTCATGTGGAGAGATTCTCTGCGGATGCAACCAATTAAGGTTGCCGTTGTAACGCTGCCTAGCAGCATGGAGAACTTTTTCTGTTGTTGTTTGGATTGGTTTCCATTTCCTCCGAGGCAGCTATCAGCAATAGGAGTTGCCTACTAAGTGCATTTAAAGCTGACTTCCGCGGCATAATTTTTTTTTCATTCATTAGCATCAAACCACTTCCTTTAGAGCAAATCAGATGGTCGGCAAACTGATCTGAAACCTGAAATGTAGAATACCTCAAAGTGGGGGGTTCCCTTAAATTTGCGACGCTGTTGGGGGTGATCATTAGCTAGAACCTCACACTTACTCTATTTTTCTTTTCACATCCCCAACAGTAAAGCAATAAATATACGAAAGGAGGGTATAAACAAACACACACACACATTCCTTGTATTATGTTTGTTAAACTATCATTTCAGTGTTCCCCTCCCCCAGTCGTAGCAAAATTTCCCATCACCAGTACCAGTTTATTTTTAAAAGTGTGTGGTATTGGAAGATTCTGGTTTGAAAATGGAATATTTTATGAAATACAGTGTACTCAGAAAAAAATGCTTCTCTCCCAGTCAGTGCTGAACATTATAGCTATCTGGCTTGATTTTTAATTTTTTTTAAATTATGTCAGTTATACAGCAGTGCAGTAAAATTCTATGCATGCCTGCCCAGAAGTAAGCCTCACTAAACGCTGGGTTTTAGTCCCAGGTAAGTGTGTATAGGATTACAGACTTAAATTTATTTTGCAACCTAAAGAATGCAGCAGAGTTTTAAGACCATTCACAACTGCACTTAATTAGTTGAATTTCATCCTGTAATCTAAATAAAATGTTTGATATTTGAAAGTGGATGTTTTCTTTCTTTTAGTCTATTTGATTCATTAAATAAACATTTGAATTCTGAAAACTGGAATCCTACACATTTAAACAGTCTTCTGTTTATGATCAAACAGAAACTATTGGGGAACAAAATATCTGAACAAAAACTGATTTTATATACTCTGAATCTTAGTCACACTATAAACTTTAAATTGTTTTCTCATCAGGCCAGAACATGCAGAGCCCCCACATACTGTACAATATATAGATTCCATTAAGCTAGACAAAATGGATTGTAAACTACAGAACAAAGCAAAGCTCATTTTGGTATCTTTCATAATAAGAGAAAAAAAATATGCCTTAAAGGTTCTTTAAGGTTGGAATCCCAGTCTCAAGTGATTACAAATGTATATTTAATAAACAATTATCAGGTGAGTGGGAAGAACCTCCACTAATTAGAATGACAAAACATAATCTTATTAGGTGTATTCGGTTGGGAAAAATGTATCTGATATACTTTTTCATTGTTTTTCCATGGAGCTCAAGCTGCTAGGGAGAAACATTTTAATTACTGCAGATAAACATATACTGTTATTTCCCATGTTTAACATTCTCTTTCACTATAAATTTGAGTCACTTGTTGACTTTAAGTTCTTTTGCTTGTATTTAGATTTGTGTTGAGTTTTTTGGGACAACAGTGTGTTTTCTATTTTTAGGAACCTACAGGAGAGCCATCTCCCAAAAGACCAAGAGGAAGACCTAAAGGAAGCAAAAACAAGAGTCCCTCTAAAGCAGCTCAGAAGGTGAGAGTAGTCCAGAACAAAAGATTTGCTTTCATTACCTCCTATTTTTTAGCTATTGTCTAAACAGTTTCACATTTAATCTTTGCACTGTGCGGGGTTTGGGCCATTTTAATAATATTTCAGGCAGGAATGTTGGAGGAGGATCTTGGTCACCCCCCCCCATAGTTTCTACATATGTTTAGTTTACAAATTCAGGATTTCACTATATATGAACCCTGTTTACTGCTGTTAAATAAATTCTACTATTGTTAGTATCTAACATTAAATGTTCATATTCTGGAAAAAATTAATATACCTAGGCAAATTATTACTCTGTTTTGTTAACTATATAGTTAAGTATAAGCTCAATAATACATTGATGGGTATCAGGATATATGTTTATACACTGATCATCATTATTATCATCCTCATCAGACATCAGGTTTGAATACCAGACTGTCGTCTATATTCCTTGCTTGAGTTAGGAAGTATATTTTGGGGAGGGGAGAAACACCACATTTTGAACAATTGCTGCATTCTGAATGTTGTCAAGAAAAGGAAGCATGAATTGACTAGTTCATTGAAGTAATCCACTTTGTCTCAAAACATTTTTTTTTATTTAACGGGTTCCAAACCATAATACAACATAATACCAAGGGGAAAAAAACTGTTTTTATTTTAAAAAATCATGGACAAATGCATAGTATAGTGGTTTGCTTTTTACAGTTTCTTTATAAGATACTGCTGACCTCAATTTTAAGTAATTTTGAAACATGAATCATGTTTGGTAGACCAGTTGCTACCATCAGTGGTTTTCATTTACAAATACATCAGAAACAAAAACACAAATACTGTTATTGTTATACAGATGTGGTATTCTTCTACTTAAAATTTGTTTTAGCACTTTTTTATATATGCACACCAGTTTTGATATTGTTAATAATGTTGATATTATGAATTACCATAGCAACCTAGATATATGCTTTTTTAACATATAAGGACTGACAGTGTTTTTGTATTTCTTTAATTTAGCTCCTTTGAGTTTCAGTACAGAATAATATAAAACTTTATATTATTCTTTTGCATTTCCCCATCCCCTTTTCTTCCCCATTTTTGCAAATGGAATTTAAAATACCAAATATATTTCACCGGCACATTTATTTTAAAAAAGAATATTGTAGAAACAGTGCAGACAAACACAACAAAAATAATCTGTAACTTTAATCCCCCCCCTAAACGAGAGTCCAGGTAAGGTGATACGATAGGGTGATATAAAATTAAAGATGATACTAAAGAAATGAATAGGTTTTATACTACTAAAAGTCATAATCCCACAGTCATCCAATAAAATGGATAGAAGGCAATATAAGACATGCAATGATTAGTCAGTGACATTTCTTGTAACAAGATGTAGTAGTGACTACTAATGGGAATAGCTTTAATGAAAAATTAAATCAGTCTTCTTTATTTCTTCCCAGAATTTCATGACCATTGTCTTGTAGGCTGGTAACAAATATTCCAAAATTTATGGAGGGTACCAGGTGGGAAAAGACTGAACTTACAAAAGGACACAGCTATCCATGGTGTAAATTACTTGATATTTTTTTTTGTAAATCTGTAAAACTTAAATTTCCCCCCAGAAATTTAATGACAATTTCTGGAGGGTTTTCACATTCTGCTATAGGTTTTCCTTAGGCCCATAGCTGGCCACTGGGGAAACAGAAAATTGAACTATATAAGTATCTTGCTGAACCATAATATCCTCAACTTATTACTGTAAAGGAGCCTGCCCATCATGGTTGTAATATGGGTCACCCACAAGATCAACCCAATTTTACGACTTTTTTTTGTGATGGTTTTTAAATAAGTGAATCAGTGATTTGTTATGGGCTAGGTTTGCGAAAAACTGGAAGTAAATGCCAGTTTGGGGCAAAACTGCTGTAAAATATAGTGATGTGATCTCAGGATGCTACAAATAATCGTAAAAGTAGGTCGGTCATCAAGCACCCAAAATATCACATAATTGCTGGGGGGTGGCTGGCCATCAGAACTTTGAAATCAGGTTGTAAGTATCCCTGGGGAGGTCTGCCATAACTTAAACAATCAGTAAGTAGTTGTAAGTCAAATTATCTCTAATGTATTTGATTTTGGTTCAGTGTGATGTGCAAAATCATTCTCTATGATTTTGTAAATCGCTGATGAATTAGTGATATTTTTAACACCCCTATATAATAGTTTACTCAACAAACGCCAGTAATTTAAATAATAACTTAACATGATATGTGAACCCAATTAGTGAATCTGCTATTACTCCACATCACAAAACTTATACTTCTAGTCTTTATAATAAGCAGTTATCATGTTTATAGCAAGCAATATTTGAGATTTATAAATTTAGATAATTAATCAGCTCTCAGGATAATCCTAACTATTGATTCTATTAAATTCAGTTTGCAGAACAAATAGGTTTAGGATTGTGCATATACATAAATGTTAATTAACATATTTCTATGATTATTTTATAATACTAAGTTGATTTAGAAAGAATTAGGAGTTTAGAGATGTTCACAAAGGAATGGCTACACTTTTGTTCATAAGTCAAAGATGTTATTTTTAAAATTGATGATTGTTTTAATAATAGAATAATTTTACTCTGCAGATGTTACCAGTTTTGTGTTAAAAATATACCATTTACTAGATGCTATGGCTCTTTGAAACACAGGAGTTGTATAATGGTTGTCACAGAAGAGGCATCTTTATTTCAACTAACAATGATTGAAAAAGATTGTATGCAAGAAGTTGTAAGTGGATTCTGCCAATAAATATCTAGATTTTCAAAAATCTTCTAAAACATATCTTCCAAAATATATTCTGCAATAATTATTGAATTTACAGTAGTGACTATTGGTTAAGTTTTTCTTTATGTGGGTTAAATATCTACTTGATAAAAGGACTATTTGCCTGTGTTTGAAGATTTATTTCTAAGAATGTTGAGGTGTAGATAATTAATTTTATATATGCATGGTTCTCTATCCTAATTATCCTCTATTGGGGAAATAGATTTGTTTTTATAAAAGTATATTTATATGAATTCAGTTTCTTTGCTCTAATGGAAAACCTATATATGTATTGTTTAAATAATTTATATTGTGCCTTTCTATTGTTAAAGCAGTTAATAAACAAATTTTAAAGTGTAACGGACAAATTATAAAGTATAGAAGTATACATAGATGTATAAATTATAGAAGTGCTTTATCTTTTTGGACCTTTAAAAATTATAACTCACTTTGGAATTTCAATGTATACAAAATAACAATGTGCACATTTGGTATATTGAATTCTTAGGAAAATATATTATTGTTAATTGTAACTGTATGCTTTTTATTGGTCTGAGTTATGGCTATTAAATAAGTTTAAAACACACATATATGTTTATTTCCAACCTAGATTTGAAAGCAGGAGTTGTCACTGCTAAAATTATTTTACCATAAAAGTGGATTCTGTAGGTAATGAAATATTGCCAAAATTTATGATAAATAGGTGGCTTCTTTCTCAAAGTAAAATAATTGAAATGTATTAAAAGATAAATGTATACTTTTAGAATTCAGACAGGCAAATAAAGAAGCTCATGATTAATTGTGAACTCTTACACTTCATAATTAAATCAATCTCTCTCTCTCTCTCTCTCTCTCTCTCTCTCTCTTTCTCTCTCTCTCTCTCTCTCTGTGTGTGTGTGTATGTGTGTGTGTATGATATATATATGTGAATGATATGGATCTTTGTTATATTTTACAGAAAATTCCATTAAATCTATTGGGATTGTTCTGGAATGCTCAATGATGTATATTTTAAATTTCTTGCTGCAGTTTTTTAAAGCTTACACAGCTTCTGGTAGACTTAGAAATCGGGCCTGGGAGGCATTTAAAACAAATTGAGCTTGTTAGGAAATTAGTAGTGTGAAACTTGACAATACAAAAATGCTGCAGGACCTAATGAGTAGTTTGTTTCATGTCTGCTGCACAAATTCCAGGGAATAACCCATAAAAACAGTAATATAAAACCCACAACTAAATGAATGTATAATTAAGAGAGCTTTCTAAAAGAACAGCAGCAGTATTAGCTCTTTTAAAGTTTTAAGTTCACGAAGGAATCAAATAAGAGGTAAAACAAGAAAGATGGGAAGCAGGATAGCACTGTTCTAATTCAGATGTTTCTGTCACTGAACAAATTCTTACATTGCTGTTCAAAAATGTAGTTTTTAAATATTTGAGGGAAATTGTTTAGCTTCTAAAACAAGTATAGATATCTTACGGGTCATATTCTACATTTTTAGATTTACAGTTCATATTCTTTGTGCTTGATAAAATACAGTTGATTTTTTTTAGAATGAAGATATACATTTGGGTATTGTGTTACAAATTGTTTTTTGGAAGTGAGCTCTCATAATATTAACTGTCAAAAATTAAAACTGTTTTGAGAAAAAATGTGGAGATTACATATGTCCATTGTCTCTGAAATGTGTATATGCCTTTTATTCACTAGTCAATTAAAATAAACAGCCTAAACTGTGAATATCACCGGCATATTATATTGTCTTTTCCATTCTTCAGTATCATCCACACTACCCACAATGAGACATTGAAGAAGAAGCCTAATTTGCAAGCATAGATCACATCTGTATGTAGACTGCCATTTATTTATATTTGGGCCAGGAAAAGAAACCAATCCCCTCTTTTGTGGTTAAATTTACAAACATAGAATGAAGGAAGATGCAGGGTTTTAGCTGCTCTAGCTTTTTTTTTTTTTTTTAGAACAATGATTTCTCCCTCCCCTAATAAAACACTTCTAGAGCTGCTTTTATTAGCATGTTTCTTTTAATTCCAAACATGCCTGTAATTTATGGCTTTTGCCAGGATAAATCTTGAGGTGCTATACAGATATTAATTCTTCTTCTGTTAGTTATTAAACAATACTTAATCTTGATATGCCCTTAAAAATGACACTGTACCATAGCTATGACC